ATGGATGGCATTTTCATGCTTTAAAATAATTCTCATATTTTTTTCTTCCTTTCAATGTGATTAAATGCCCTTGGTTTAGCTCCTACAACTTCTACTCAAGTCTTCACAAGACAAAAGATTTGTGTGTGAGGCAGCTGAGAGAGCTTTAATAGCTATGACTACTTGGGCTTCCCCCATTTTGTTGTTACCGAAGTTGCAACCTTATCTTAAGAACAGAAATCCTCGAATTCGAGCAAAGGCTTCAATGTGCTTCTGTAGGAGTGTACCACGACTGGTAAGAAACTTGCAGTAACTGCTATCATTTTCATTTTGATGATTGATAGTCCCCTATCTGGGTGCATGTGTTTTTTTTTCCCATCTTTTTCTTTATTGAAGAACACATAGAATGTAAGTCGGTCTATGGCATACTTTATCCTTCTTGTGGCTGATTTTCACAGTAAAATCTCCTCTTCACGCCCTACTTAGCTCCCGAAAGAGTGAGAGGAAAGACTAGTAAATGCATACGAAATGGCAGCCTCTTGAAGATATCCTCTCTTCCGTTCTTAGAACTTTTAAACAAGATACTAATACTCACCTAATTCGTGAGTAATGTGAACAATTCTTTTGAACTAAAACTAACCTAGTCTTTTACAAATCTTTTGAACTTTTGTATGAGTAATGTCAACCCTATTCTTGCTCAATTATGATCCCAACATGGCTTAATTGCTACAAGTTTGTCTTATTGTTTAGCCATCAACACTTGTGCAGTCATGTGGGAACTGTATGTTGCCTACTTTTCCAAAAATGGAGATTACATATCAGATGGCCCAATGATTGTCTTCTAATTTTGGGGTATAAAGATATTTGACACATCTTGTGTGATAATAGTTCTTATTGTGATACTGAGTTCACGATTCTGATTGAATTGGATCACTGTAACATTTGCATTGGTCATCAGTTCCTTCACAAATTGTCCTATACTGAATCCTTAGAGACTCTTCTGCTCTTTTCTACATTTTAGAGTGCATTTCTTCTCAAATCAACTATTAAGGAATCAGACTCTCGTGGAATTGTAATCTTTAACCTTTTCTATTTGTACGCTAGAGTAGGATGCCTTGTCCTTTCTTTGGGTTTTCCCCCCCTGCCCTTTTGATGGTAAATTTGCATTCCAGAAATCCCTAGTCCCAACTTAGCATTAATACTGCTGAAAGNTGAAGTAAATTTGCATTCCAGAAATCCCTAGTCCCAACTTAGCATTAATACTGCTGAAAGTAAGAGAGCAAGATTCTTAATGTATGTGTTCTTTTTCCAATCCTATTACTTATGCAATTCCCATTTAGACTATCAAACTAGCAACTGTTGGGTATTCACCTTTAGTTGTGGGCGCCTTTAATGGGAAGACCTTCAGGAAGAAGATCACTGAAAAAAGAACTACTGCAGTACCCATACTTTAACTAAAGTAAAATAAATCTTGCAATAGGTATGATAGATGAGCGATATCTTTCCTAGTTTTAACTACAGCGTTTATGCATATTGTGTAATTTTTCGAGATGATAATGCAATTTGCACCGTCTATACAAACGGAATCTATGGGCTCTGTATGTTATTGTCGGTTGATGCCAATTATCAGTTTGGTTGAGTAATTCTTTGTCGTGTTGCTTGCTCTACAGGGAGTGGACGGAATCAAAGCATATGGGATTGACATGTTGATCCAAATAGCGGCAACCCAGCTTAGTGACCGGCTTCCTGAGTCCAGGGAGGCTGCTCGTATTCTCCTGTTGGAGCTGCAGGCTGTATATGAGAAATCAAATGTCTTCACACCAACTTCAGTACCTGAGGACCCAGAGAGGAGTACTTGGGAGCACTTTTGCCAATCAAAGCTCTCACCTTTAAATGCTCAGGCTGTCCTTCGTGTGACAAGCATTGCTCGGGAGAGTCTTGTTTTGGGTTCCTAGCATAAATATACGCAAACATATATGGAGTTTTAGTGAGTAATATTTTCTTTTTCCTGTTCCTCTATTTTGGTTTGGTTTCTATCTTCTACTTGTAAATACAGTAAACCATTGAGATGTTTGGAAAGCAGTTGAAGCATGTAATTGTGCTAGAATCCTATAACAATTTCTATATGGTCTACAGATTATAGCTACTTGTAAATCACTTTGTGATGGATGCATGATGGTAATATACGCCTGTAAACATAATCCAATCAGAAGTCTGATCCAGAGCTTGATTTCCCAGTTGAGATAATTTTTTCGCATGTACTTGCCGTCCTCTTCGAACCTTGAAATACTTAATGTGGTTCATCTGTTGCATCCATTGGGAAGATATATTACAGGTGAAAAAAAGTACCCTTTTCCCATTTATGCATTATGTAACGGAGAAAATTAATTCCAGAGATGCTCTTAGACAGGTTATGCTGCTATTAGTTTGTGGAACGAGGAAAAGGAACATCGTTTGCTGCTTCAACTGAAATATGTTTTGTGGTTGATTTGAAATACCGTTGATATTTGAAGGAAAACAGGAACTCTTNTGCTATTAATTTGTGGAACAAGGAAAAGGAACATCGTTTGCTGCTTCAACTGAAACATGTTTTGTGGTTGATTTGAAATACCGTTGATATTTGAAGGAAAACAGGAACTCTTTTTGCCTTCTTGGTTCTCATTGTTCAGGTAGTATGTTGGGAGCATGCTCTGTTACCTTTTGCTGCTTCAAAAATGCCATTTTCATATCCTTTTGTATTGCAATTCTTGTTAAAACTTTATGTTTATCGTTGCATGGTTTGACGCAAGGATAAGGTTATGTTATTGTAACTTGATAGTCGACCAATGACATTATCACTTGCGATTATACATTCTCAAATGATTTTTATTTCCACTAGTGAAAAAAAAAAGGATATTTATTTTTGAGAAATGAGCTTACAGTGATGATAAAATGAGGGGTTTTTTTTATTGATTTTTAACTTTGCACCCTCAAAGATTAAATTTTTCATATTACGCACTTGATATATTAAAAATTTGTAATGTAATCTTTTCATTACTTATTTCTCAAAAATCACGCCATTGATGTTGATAGAATTAGTAATGAAAATTAACGGAAGAACGAGACTGCAACACTTTTAATATATTGATGGCACAATATAAGAAATTTAATCTTTGAGAGTATAAAATAAAAATTCTTAAATTTTTTGGTTGTAAAGTACAATTCGCTCTTTATAATATACTTTAAGTCATTGGAAAATGAAAGCCCCTGCGTTATTAATTAAGCACAAGATGATGAATTCGCAGTGTTGGCCTGCCATTCTACAAAAATAACTAGGGACTGAAAAATAAACAATTAAAATAAATAAAATAAAATAAATAATAAATTAATTTTTTTACAATATACCTTCTAATTAAGTAATTATTAGTTTTAAAAAGAGATATGGTATTAAAAAATAATTTGTTTTTCAGGTCATAGTTTGACCCTATGGATTGAGATTTNAGGATAAGGTTATGTTATTGTAACTTGATAGTCGACCAATGACATTATCACTTGCGATTATACATTCTCAAATGATTTTTATTTCCACTAGTGAAAAAAAAAAGGATATTTNAAGATAAGGTTATGTTATTGTAACTTGATAGTCGACCAATGACATTATCACTTGTGATTATACATTCTCAAATGATTTTTATTTCCACTAGTGAAAAAAAAAAGGATATTTATTTTTGAGAAATGAGCTTACAGTGATGATAAAATGAGGGGTTTTTTTTATTGATTTTTAACTTTGCACCCTCAAAGATTAAATTTTTCATATTACGCACTTGATATATTAAAAATTTGTAATGTAATCTTTTCATTACTTATTTCTCAAAAATCACGCCATTGATGTTGATAGAATTAGTAATGAAAATTAACGGAAGAACGAGACTGCAACACTTTTAATATATTGATGGCACAATATAAGAAATTTAATCTTTGAGAGTATAAAATAAAAATTCTTAAATTTTTTGGTTGTAAAGTACAATTCGCTCTTTATAATATACTTTAAGTCATTGGAAAATGAAAGCCCCTGCGTTATTAATTAAGCACAAGATGATGAATTCGCAGTGTTGGCCTGCCATTCTACAAAAATAACTAGGGACTGAAAAATAAACAATTAAAATAAATAAAATAAAATAAATAATAAATTAATTTTTTTACAATATACCTTCTAATTAAGTAATTATTAGTTTTAAACAGAGGTATAGTATTAAAAAATAATTTGTTTTTCAGGTCATAGTTTGACCCTATGGATTGAGATTTGATCCAATAATTGATTTCCATTTTTTCCCCCCCTTCGTTCGGAGGCCGTTCAGTCCTTGCTTGACAGAATATTTTGCTGCTCCAAAAACCTGCCAAACTGGAAGCAGATAAAAGCAAAAAGATAAAAGAGAAAAGTTCGATCTCTCAATCTTCATATTTCTTGTCTGTACCTGTGAATTTGATTCTTTTTTCCCACCCTCTCCATAAGAGTGGCTAACGCAATCCCCGCTAAACAGTAAATGTTTCTTTCTTCTACAGCAATAAGTCCTATTAGTTAGCTGCTTATGCTATCAGGAAATTATAGCCCCTTTATAAGACAGAACCATCCTACCTTTTGCAACCTTAATTCATCACCACCTCTGCAAAAATGAACCCTCCAAATTTCTCTTGCCAAATAAAGTTTTTGTAAGTTGATTTTAAATTATTATTATTATTTTTTTGACGAATCGAAGTGATAAAGAATTAAATCTCATTGGGTCGTGGCAGCAATTCCACACCGAGTGTAAGTTGATCTTAAGTTTTCCATTTTTGCACCAAGTCTTGATGACATAAACTGGGGTTTATTTATGTAGTGAATGTGCAGTGAATGATCATGTTCTTTGTCTATGACTTCGGATTTTAACTGCGATCAGGTGTTCGTGACCTTTGTAGTTTTGGGATTGGGAATGATTGTTGAGAAGTGAATGGAATTTTTTTTTTTGATGAGTAAACCAGTTTTGAGTGTTGCTACACAGTTTATGGTCATGGCAATTTTCATATCAGTGATATTTTTATTTGTGGGCATTGGAGTTTTGGTTGTGATTCATGCTTGTATTGCTGGGAGGGCGTTTAGGAGAGGATTTGGTGGCAGTGATATGGTGGAGAGGGGTGGTTTTGGGAACACAAGCATGTCTCAAGACTATCTAGAGAAGCTTCCTTGCTTTGATTTCATAGTGAAATCAAAGGGAAGTAGTCCTGTGGATTGTGCAGTGTGTTTGGAGAACTTCAAATCGGGTGATAAGTGTAGGCTATTGCCTCTATGCAGACATAGTTTTCATGCCAAGTGTGTGGATTCTTGGCTTCTGAAGACACATTTGTCCAATTTTCAGAGGAAGTGCTGATTCTTGGAAAGGTGATACGGTATGTGGGGGGAGAAAGCAACTGTTTCAGTGAAAGTGGGCATGTGAGTGAGAATGCAATGAGGTTGAGAGAGGACCAAGTTGCTGAAACTGGTCATTTGACTGATCCTGGTATTGAGCTCTGTTGTTGTTTTTTATGGAGTCTAGTTTGTATATGCGATCCGGATGATGACCCGACCCGAAGTAATGTTGTGTGGTTTTTTAATAAAAAAATTTTTGAGGCTTAGTTTATGGAGCGAAGGCTTGGGCCAATAGGCCCAAGCCGTGCCCCCGAGGAAAATTTTTTTGGGCCCGTTATACAGCCCAGTGTGTAGGACATATAAACCCTATTGTTTTAGTGATTAGGGTTAATCGTGGATTGTACAGCCGCTCTCTGTATTCAACTCTCTCAATAGTGAAATCTTTGCAGTTTCGTGGACGTAGGCAAATTGCCGAACCACGTAAAATCTGTGTCTTGTTCTTTCTTGTTTCTTATTGCTTTATATTCTTGATTTGTTTTTCGATTGTATGTGTTTGTTAATGGATTTAAATCATGTTAAATCCCAACAAGCTCAACCTCAGAGGGAGCCAAACAATGCAACACACTGATTTGGGTAATACTGGAACTCAACCAACGGAGAACCAAACAGCTTTGATTGGATCACATTTGATTATCAATGTTATCCCACATGTTTCAGCCTAGAGCCATCTTGCTTTTTATCATTGGCTTAAATTGTAAACCTTAGTAACTGCTCTTTATTGATGATCAATTTTTGTGTGCAGTAGTTCCTTTTCTTCCCGAAACGAAGAAAGAAGCAATGATTAATGAAATGGACATGGTTTTAGNTTTTCTTCCCGAAACGAAGAAAGAAGCAATGATTAATGAAATGGACATGGTTTTAGATGGTCCTTGATATACACAAAATTGAAGTAATCCACGATCTTTTTCTCCCATGTTACAGCTTAAATACAGTACAATATGTTTGGACCAGTCCTCTTTCAGTTCTTGATTTGGGAATACTATGTATGTACCAATGAAAATTTGGTTCCAAGCTCTGATGCTTTATTGCTAGAATGCAATCTCTCCAAAACCAAAGTTTCTTCTCTACCTAAAATGCAGTAGGGATGATAACAAATGCGCGGCAAAAAACTAAATTGTTTCGTTTATGCTTTCAAGTTGAAATTTTGATTTCGGTTTCTGGTTTGCCATGATATGCTGTGCTTTGCGATGGTTATGTGGACTCACAACTGCTTATGTATCACTCATAGTTGAGTCATGAGAGAATTTGCCTATATGAGGTTTCTTAGAGGGATAGTTATACAAATAGGTAATGTTAAGCATCAAAGTAATAGGCACAAAAGAGGTTCCAATACTTGTCTATACCATAGTTTTCCCTCAAAAACTAAAAAATTGACCTAATTTGCTAAGTGGAGGATTGTTCTATCAGTTCATTCATTCTTGAAGGAAAAAGAAACCATGTAGTTTTGGTTGCTTGATTGAAGCCTTTGATGGATCTTATTGCATGTTCTAGTTCACGTTTCTTACCTTTGCAATTTGCAGCCTTCATAAACACTGAAATGATATATTTCTTGGACTGAATTGAAATCCCCCATGATGAATTTTCTGGGTATTCTGAGAACTCTTATTTTTGTTCACTTGCACACAGGCTTTTTTTTTTTTTGCAAGTATGTTTTCGTACTAACACACACACATATACACGCACACTTACATATACATATATGTATATATCTATATCTATATATATGTCTCTCAAAAAAAACTTAATAGCTCAATTTAAGTAAGAAAATGAACTGTTTCAGAAATAAATAAATGAGAGAAGGAAGAAATTTTATTTGAACACAAGAAAACAAATAACGTTGTTGAAGTGATAAAAAATCTGGAGTTACAGGACTCTAATTTATAGAAGTTGCTTTTTACAAATACTCAACTAACTTGGATCAATCACAATAACAAACTCCTAGAATATCTCAACAATCTGATGATGACTTATTTCAACATAACAGACTAAGACTCAATCAACAAAGCGGACTCCTAAATAAATTCAACTACTCCTAAAAAATAGGCCAGTAAAATGCACTAAACTTTGACACTCCTCCCTAGTGCATGCTTACGATCAATAATACCAAGATCACTTCGAAATTTATCAAACGTAGCTCTAGCAAGAGCTTTAGTAAAAATATATGCAACTTGGTCCTTGCTGCCTATGTACTCCAACTTAATCTCTTGACTTAATACTTTCTCTCGAACAAAATGATGATGAACTTCAATGTGTTTTGTGCGAGCATGAAAAACTGGGTTTCCGGCAAGTTTGATTGCACTTTCATTATCACATTTAATGGGGACTGAATACTCCAATGCAGCAGTTATGTCTTGAATTAATCGCTTAAGCCAGATGCACTCTTGAGATGCCATGGTTGCTGCCATATATTCCGCTTTTGTACTTGAAATAGCAACTATATTCTGCTTTTTACTGCACCATGAGACGGCGGCTGAACCTGTGCTGAAGCAATAACCCGTAGTTGATCGTCTGTCATTTACATCTCCAGCCCAATCTGCATCAACAAACCCCTGTAGAGAAAACTGAACATCCTGCTGGTACATCAACCCAAACTCCAACGTTCCTTTCACATAGCATAAGATCCTCTTTGCTGCAATCATATGACCAACACATGGCTTGTCCATAAACTGAGATACAACTCCTACAGAGTATGCAATGTCAGGTCTTATGATAGTTAAGTAGAATAAACTACCCACAAGTTGACGAAACTTTGTTGCATCTTCCAGTAGCTCCCCTTCAACTTTCTGTAACTTGAGACATGGCTCCATAGGAGTAGCCATAGATTTTGATTCTCTCATGCCAAAACGATTCAAAAGACTTGTTGCATACCTCTTTTGAGAGATAAAATACCCATCTGACTTTTCTACTTCTAAGCCAAGAAAACATTGAACTTCACCCAAATTCTTCATTTCAAATCGGACAGACAAATCATCTCGAAGCCTTGTAATTTCAGCATTGTTGTCTCCGGTAATGATCATGTCGTCTACGTAAAGAAGAATCATCGTGTACATCGATGACTGTGCCTTAACAAATAAACTAGGATCTGAACTAGAAACTTTAAAACCACAAAATGTAAGATGTTGAGCAATCTTTCTATACCAGGCACTTGGAGCTTGTTTGAGACCATATAACGCCTTCCTGAGTCGGCACACATGATCAGGAAATTCCTTAGAAACAAATCCTTGCGGTTGCTCCATAAAAATGTCATGATCTAACTCACCGTAGAGAAATGCTTTACGTCTAGTTGCCATAAATTTCAGTGTTTGTATGCAGCCAAAGAGATGTTGTTCGAACTGTTACCATTTTAGCAACAGGGCTGAAAGTCTCCTCATAATCTAACTCATATTGCTGTGAAAAACCACGTGCAACAAGACGAGCTTTATACCTATCGACAGTGCCATCAACCTTTCTTTTCAACTTGTAAACCCACTTACATGTAACTAGTTCAGCACCCTTTGGCTTTGGTACAAGTTCCCATGTAGTATTCTGATGCAGAGCATTGATTTCTTCACGCATTGCAGCTTCCCATTCAGCAATTCCTTGAGCTTCATTGTAGCACCTAGGTTCATCTTCATATGTAACCCCCATGAGAAAACAAGAGGTTACAGTGAAATGATTTAAATGAACCTCATAATCGCTTAAATAATCTGGTTGCCTTCGCTGCCTTATTGACCTTCGAACCATAATCCCATCTTGTGGAACAGCTTCTTCAGATAAGATATCATTCCTCCCTACTACTGTGGAATCAAGTTCACTAGAAAAGGACTCTAGATCACTTGTGTGATTTCTGAAATTTTTGCTAGAGTAGTATGTCGACCCCTTGTCGAATACCACATCTCCAAAGACAACAATCTTTATTGTTTCTGGATCCATACATCTCCAACCTTTCCTGTGTGAGTCATAGCCAACAAAACCACATTTTCTTGCCTTTGGGTCTAGTTTGGTTCGACTACTCTTAGATACGTGAACATAACAAAGCGAACCAAACACCCGAAAATAACTCACATCTGGCTTTTTATTATATAAAAATTCAAAAGGAGATTTTTTCGTACCTGGCCATAGAGGCAACCTATTGATCACATGACAAGCACACTGCATAGCTTCTTCCCAAAGCTCTCTGGGAAGGTTCTTTTCGTGCAACCATGACAAGCTCATCGAGGTGAGATGCCCCAGCTTTCGTTCAGCAACCCCATTTTGTTGCAGGGTCTTTGGACATGTCATTTGTCGACGAATTCCATGTTCACTGCAATAATCTGAAAACTCATATGACAGATACTTTCCCCCATTATCAGTATGCAAACACTTTATCATAAACCCAAACTCCTTCTCTACATGCATCTTGAACTGAGTGAACTTAGAGAAAGCTTCACTCTTGTGTTCCAAAAAATAGACCCAAGTGAACTGTGAGAAGTCATCCACGATAACCATCACATAATGACAACCGCTATAGCTAGGTGTTCTTGTTGGCCCCATTAGATCTGAATGGACCAACTGGAACAAAGTAGATGCACAATTCTTTGATCTCTAAAAAGGAAGGCAATGAGATTTTTCATATTGACAACCGGGACAAACCACATCTTGATGTACCTCCTAAAACATGGGAACACCGTCAAGCAGTTTCTTCGTGGAGATTTGCTGCAACATTTGATAACCAACGTGGCCTAACCGAGCATGCCAAAGTGAGGCACTAGTATTCTGGCCTGTTCGTTCTATATATGCTTCACTTGCAGATAGAACATATAAAGACTCATTCCTTTTTCCCATAGAAAGGACATCAGCTGCAACATGCTTTTGATTTTCAAAGATCTTTACATCGTCAGGACCAAAGAGAACATACCTCCCAGAGTCAGTGATTTGAGAAACTGACACAAGATTCTTTTTCAACCCCGGAACATGATAAACATCACTAAAAGCAATGTCGTTGCCATTTGAGTTATCAACCTTAACATCCAAGTGGCCTTCTTTCACTACTGGATGTATTGAATTATCAGCTGTAACAATAGCTCGGTTCCCCTTATGCGGTCGAACTTCTGAAAGAAGAGATGCATTACCCGTTGTATGATGGGAACAACTAGAATCGACAATCCACTTCTTCTTGTAATCGATGGAGATATTAGAATCCTTATGTGCAATAGTCTGGTGCACAACAGAATCCACGTTACCTGGTTGCTCAACAACTTCAGTAGAAAGGCAATGCCCCCATTTGAGCTGATCAGAATCTTTGTTCTCGTGTACAACATTTGCATTTTCATCCACAAGCTTAACACGACAATTTTGTTTAATGTGGCCTGGTTTTCCACACCTATTACATACAACCTTCACTCGGCAATTTCGCTTGATGTGCCCCGGCTTCCCACACCTGTAACAACTTTTGGAATTTCCATTTGACTCCATTTCCGCTTTTGCTTGCTTGCAATCACTTGATGAATGCTTTGGGACACCTCTATTTTTCCACTTGTCTTTGGTGAAGATAACATCCTCAACTTCAGAGATGGGCCTGCTGGTCATTTGCTTAACCAATGCTTCTTGGTTCTAAAGCAAATTCTCCAGGTCTACAATAGAAGGCTGAGTTGCCCACCCTTGCACAGAGGAAATAAATGGCATGAACTCTTTCCGCAGACCACGAATGAGATAACGACGCAATCGTGCATCGCTGATGGGCTCCTCCGTATCTAACTCTGAAATTTCAACACAAAGGTTTTTAACTTTCAAAAAGTATTCTGGAATAGACAGATTACCTTGTGTTACTCCAGCAAGGTCATTTTCCAGATACTGCAACCTCATTGTATTCTTCTTAGTAAATAACCTTTCGAGAGTCTCCCACACTAGCTTTG